CCCTTGTGATGCCAGTCTCTTGTCTGTGTAGAAGTCAGAGAATTGTGGTGTGAGGGTCACACCAATCTCATGTGGGCAGTGAGGGCTCACCCTGCTGCCCCAGTCATCCCCCAGTACAAAAGGAGTGTTATATTTAGTTTGAGAGCCATGAGAGTATAGCAGTGTGGGCCTCTGACACACACGAGGCCATTATAAGTGACGTGTTTCTTTTGAGGGACTCCATCGGGTTGGGGAGGGTGGTAGAGTTGCAATCTTATTGTTCACTCGAGGCCTTTGTTACCTGACTGGAGATGGCAAAAATGAAATAAATTGACAAAAACCGCAGTATTAGTCTGATTTTCTGTCTTGTAATCAAAGTGGTAGAGATGCCTGAAAAACTTAAGGAGGCTACATTCACATCTCAGGCCTCAAAGCTCAGATCTGATCTTTGGTCAAAGGTCAAAGTGTTTATTTGTCATGCATAGATGGGAAACCTGTTTCCCTGTACAATAAAATTCTTACTTCGCCATCCACATGAATGCCACAAAATACAAATGAAATATAAAGTAGATAAGTAACACAAAATCTAAGGCACTTTAAGCAGCAAATGCAGCAATATAATAAGAGAATGAATGCTGCATGGGAGCAGCACGTGCAGCAGTCAACAGTCAGTTTGTGTTGCTGCTTCCCATCCATGTGTCAGTGCCATGTACCCGGCCCTCGTGAACACCACTGAGCTCCTAAGCTGCCACACATGCACATATGTAACTGAAATGTGAGCCATGTACACACAATAAAACAACCAGGTCATGTGTGTGACAGTCAAATGGCCTGGTTTCCTCCCATTGATGACAGGCTGTATGTGCAGAGGAGGAGACATTAAAATGGCCACATGGATTCTGATCTGACCGTTCTGATGGCACTCATGCAGTCAGAGGTCTGAGAGGAATGGGTTCTAGGAGCACATACACAGGTGGCCCAGATCTGGTCTGTTCACGCTGCTGTGAACACACCAGGTCTGAGTCACTAGGAGGGGAAAAAAAAAAAGAGATTTGAGTCACTCCAGGGCATAATGTGAATGTAGCATAATGGTGTAGGTCGTCTGATTGCAGTGCTCAGATCCAAGTGTTTTAAAACCCTTTGCCAAAGTTAAACTTGTTCAAAGCAGAAGGACATGAATGAAATGTACGTTACCTGTCATTCTGAAGTGCTCCAGCCTATGCATGTTCTTACACCTGTGTTCTATGGTTTTTAAAGTACTGGAAGTAAAGCAAAAGTTCTGAGTTTTCACTTGTATCGTTTATACTTAGTTATCAAAGTAGACATTGTTTGCTTTGAGTGCGTAATGCATTAACTGAAGCAGGAAGTGGTGAAACAAGCTTTTTAAAATATATTACTCTGGGTGGTGCATGTTTCATATGTCAAATACCTATCAGATAAACATGGATTGACAGGAAATGCAGCCTGTCAGAGCAACCTAGCCCTGGTCCTTTACAGCCTTTGGTGTGTTTTTACTTGTTTTGTTGGTTGAAAACCACTAGAAATTATGTTCTGTTTGCAAATAAAAATAGTCCACAGTGACGCTTCTCAGGTTTCCTCTCACATGAGAGCTGCTTAGCTGCTGAGTACTGTGATGGTTTTAATCATTTAATGCAGGCTTACACTAATCTGTAGACTCCCTGTTGTAGTTGGGGTTGGAAAAAGACAAAAAGCTAAAAGATGCATTAGGTAAATTAACTAATATACTGTATGTAATAGTGCATAAAGTGAAGGGGTGGTAATACTTTCCGAAAACCAGCTCAGCAGCCTGTTAATGCAGATAAATACAATGGAGAAAAGCGGTATGGAGTCATAACATGGATGCTTAAGGAGTGAAGTTGTGCTTTTCTGCCTGTGCTACTGAACATTTTGCTGTGTCAGTGTGTGAAGTCAGTACCAGACACACCCTGCCTACCCATCTCCAACTGAAATGTGAAGATGAATCATTCACTTGTGCCTGCATGGATATGTGCACACTGAGTCACACCAGGTTCTACAATGGAAGGAAAGCACAATTTTTTCTGTTGATACCCGTCTCAGCTGGTTTGGTTTTCTCTGGCTCATTGGGAGGGATTTCATTTTCTGTTCTCTGTGTTCATAGAGATGCAGCTGAAGGAGGAGGGCTGGCACCAGAGCTCTCTCTCCCTCCCCCTCTCTCTCTCTCTGTGTGTGCGTGTGTGTGCTAAGACGTTGTCAGTAATTCGCCAGATCAGCGGGCTTGTTATCAGAGTGTGTTTGGACTTTAGCTGACCATTGGACTTGAATCGTCTGCTGAAACAGGAAAAGGTCCTTTGATTTCACACGTTTAAGACTAAACTTAGCTGAAGAATAAAGGACATTAAAAGATTATATGCTAAATACACAAAACAAAGTTTTAAAAACAAACCATAAGTAGAAGTACAGTATTTATGCTGTGATCTGCTTACTATATACGGTAATTACTTCCAGGCGCCACGTACAACGTCACTGCTGCGTCATTTCCGGATATCCTTTTCCTGTCCTAGCTTTAGAAATGTCGCCGGTGAGTTCCACTAGATCCTGCCGATTTTAACAAATTTAATGTCAATTTCTTTGTTTTTCAAATTATCTCGTCCATTACCTACTGTAAGATGGAATTTTACAATTGTGTACGTGTCATTTAATAGGTTTTTATTGGATAAGAAACCATTAGCATTAGTCCGTAGGAGTCTTGCTACACGTTTTCCATTCGTTAGTCCTGTCTCTATATAAGTAGAACGTTGTATAATACTTCACTATAAAACCTTTTTCTGTCAGTATTTGTGTAGTTCAAACGTGACTTGTTAATTCTTCATAACGTATGAGCTGTTCATATATTAGCTACTAATAACTTAAGATCTGTAGATATGTTATCATTCGCCACTGAATAGTAAGCATGTTATAGACGACAGAGTCAGATAATCTAATATATTTAGTCTATCGTTTACTGAAATTGTTGCAGCTTAAGTTAAACTTGTGCCTGCAGAGATTCTGTTGCCCTCGTGTTGCACATACGTTTTCTGATCCCGTCGCTGGTAATTTCCGTCACAGATCAAACATAAGAGGCCGACCGTTGGCGAGACGGCCAAAAAGGGAGCTGCGTGGAGGTTCACCCTGGACCTGACCCACCCCGTGGAGGACGGGATCCTGGACTCGGCAAACTTCGTAAGACTTCACTACTGTTGTTTAGTGCCTCTTAGAAAGGCCACTTTCAGAGATCAAATCATGAATTTTAAAATGAGGAAAACATTGTGAACACCCAGTATAAGATTTCTTTAGCATATTCATAATTATTTTTAACAGTCTGTCCAATAACAAACCTATTAAAGGGTTAACTAGAGAAATGCATTTCCTGTCGAAAATGCATATGGATGCTGATATGCTGAAGGATTGCCTTGAAAATGCCTGAAATCAATAGCTGAAACAGCTGAAGGATGAGAAGAAATGGCTGAAAGTCTTTGTTGCAATAGTTGAGAAGAAATGGCTGAAGTTTTTTGTTGAATAATCTGAAGGATGAGAGGCAATAAATAGAAGTAGGACTGTCCTTGAAGAGCTGAACATTTTGATACCTGAATGGCTTTTCTAGCTGAAAGTGTGCTGAACTTATTAAGATGTGAAAATTTTCCCACTGGTCTCACAAAGTAGATAAAACAAGTAGGGGTGTAGGTGTTTGTGTGTATGTGTGTGTGTGAGGGGTTTACAGGGGGTTTACAGCATCCACACAATAAAGTGATCTTAATGAGCATCTAACCCTGTGGCTGGACTAGGGCCCCCTTCCCTAGCTCCACATTTACTAGGGTTCTCTTCCCTAGTGTGTTACTGTATTCTGTCCAACAGGAAACCTTCCTCAAAGAGAGGATAAAGGTCAACGGAAAGACGGGGAATCTGGGTAATGTTGTCCAGGTCGGCTGCCTGAAGAACAAGATCAACGTCATGTCTGAGAAGCAGTTCTCCAAAAGGTGAGGCGAGCTGAGCAGCATCTGAACTATTAGTTTTTATGTAACATAAATGAAACTTGGCAAAAATGCTTCTTTCATTGTGTTGGGGGGAAACTAAATACACCCCACCTCTGCCAGGTATCTTAAGTACCTAACGAAGAAATACCTGAAGAAGAACAACCTTCGTGACTGGCTCCGAGTTGTGGCGTTGGATAAGGAGACGTACGAGCTTCGTTACTTCCAGATCAGTCAGGATGACAAGGAGTCGGAAGCAGACGAGTAGATGGTTGCAGCAGAGTGCCGCAAATGTGTGTGTCAGCAGCTGGAGCAGAATAAATGTGAAAAAGGAGTTTCCTCTTGTCTCACTATGGTGTTGGCACGTATGAGCAGTACACTAAACCGCCACTAGGTGGCATCAGTGATGCATTTTGAATGAACAGTCAGCCAGGGCCTTCTCGGCTTTGTATGCATTTTCTCTAGGTCATTTACACCAACGAGAGTTGGCTGAAGGAATGGCAGCATACATTACAGCCTCCAAAATCAAAGCTTCAATACAAGCTGAATGTTTCCACCTTGATGTTGGATGATTTCTTGCAGGGCTGATAAATACTTCACTGATCCTGAGGGAAATTCAGACACCAGCAGCTTGGTGTACCTAGTCCAGCTTCTGCCAGTGTGGAATGTGTAAGCTCACGGAGTTTAACGTGTTTGGGGAGGGGTCAAAGTGTTCAACTTTAAATGAAAATTTCTAGGTAACTATAAAAAGTATGTCAGATCCAAGACATTTTAAAGTTGGCTCATTCCCTCTGCTTGTTCAGGCTTTTGCAAAATGGGTTTATAATCCAAGTACTTTTTAATTCAGGGTATCATTTTCCCTAAGTTTAATATACTTGCTGTTTGGAGTCAAACGGGAGAGGATGCAGGCACTGCTGCGCCTTCGTCATCTTGAGGGTTTCCAGGTCAGTGAAAATAGAGGGGTCAGATTTACACTAAAATAAAAAGCTCACATGTGACTTGTACTGTTGCAGCTTGTGAGAAGCAGCTGAGACATCTTTTCACCAGCTTTCACAGGCATCCTGAGTCTTTAACTGTCAAAGCCTCATGGGAGCTGAAGTCACTGAATGATAACAGGCGTTAAATCAGATGCTGTAAAATATTAATCTTAGAGGAAACCACAGGTGTGAGTTTCTGCTTAAGATAAACCAAACACTGAATCTTCACAACAATCCACTTCATAACATCCTCCACAGTTCAGGTTGGCACGCGAGGACACACCAACAAAAACCTTTATTCCCCTAAACAGAAAAAGATGTTCTGCCCCGAGTGCGTCTGGATTCTCTCCCGTGTGCTCATCTGTTGTG